TCCGTGATCAGACGGTCGAATCCGGCCGCCGTGACCTTGTCTGCGCCACTTTTGGACAGCCTGTGAACACGTATGGCATGCGTCGTCAGCCGTCTGGCCCGATCGCGAGTCAGTCGCGCTGTCCAAGTCCATCGGCATACCACTCGTTGGTAAGCTCGAGCGTCTTGGGTGTCTTGATGGTGGCGCAGTCGCCAAGGGCATAGACATCATCAACGCCTTTGAGGCGCAGGTGGGAGTCGACGCAAAGAGAGCGGGCGTGTTGCTGCGGCTCGAGCTTGGCGGTCAGTCGCTTGGTCACGTCGAGCATGCCGATACCTGTGCTCCACACACACAGGCCATACGGGATTCTGTCCGGCATCACGCAGCATTGATGAGCACTTGAAACGGCTGCTGCTGCTATGGACACAAGGCTTACTCTTTGAGCTCAAACTCGGATGAACGAGCATCACGGCGCTTGTAGATGATCTTGTCCTTTTCGACAGACACGACAAAGGCGTTGGTGATCACCTCGATGTTCTGGCGACGGAAGCGGTTCTCGGCGTAATGAGAGATGGCTGAATGAGACATTGGTCAGCCAGAGCTGTGTGCGATCCACGCAAAAGGCACGACAAGAGGCACACCTTCGTCAAACGTGTTGAGGATGTGATCGGCACCCTGGATAAGCGTCACGCGCACAGACGACTTGAGCAGATCAGGAAAGTACGTCGTGAGATCTTGGTTCAGAAAGTCAAACAGCTCGGCTGCAAACTCGACACCAGTTGGACCGCCGCCAACAATCACAAAGCTGAGCAGTCTCTGTCCACACGCCAATGCAACCAAGAGTCAGCAAACGCGCCAGATGCACACAACGATTGTGATTGGAAAGGTTACAGACGTTTCGCTCTTCCTGTGATAAGCCGGGGAAACTGGCTTGCTCAAAGAGCGTCATCAGACGGTCGCGGATGCGGCGTGCATCCTGGATGTTCTTGAGAAAGTGCACGTTGCCGATCACGCCTGGAATGCCATACGTTTCGTTTCTGGCACCGACGGCAATCACTGCCGGCCATTCTGCAGTCAGCGTAGCGATATGAGCCAGATAGGGATGGATCACCAAACGCCTTACCCAGCTTGTCATAGGGCACAAGATACTTGTCCTTGTTGGCGTCAACGACCTGCACCAGCTTGTTCTCAAAGTCGATGTCTGTCGAATGCCGATCCGTCAGCATCATGGCACAATGACAAGCCGCCAGGTGGTGCATCGCTACCTTGCGTTTCGGCCTGGACGTAGCGAGCCTCTGTGCGACGGCAGATCTTGCGGATGCTCTCGAGCAGACTGCGTGACTCGACCGTGCCGGTGGTTGCCTGCCAGCCACGTGCGTCAGCCCAGGACGAACATTCATCCAGCCCACAGCCAAAGCAGCGGCTACCTCGGGCAGCAGTGGCGTGAACAGAAAGTAGTTGGTCGGGGAGATGACAATGGTCTCTGAACAGGCATGTGTGTGCATGGGAGGCAAAGCCGTCAGAGCCAGGCGGCCGCCGCCTTTTCATCCCAACAGAGCAGAGGAAACTCACGGAACGCCCCACGACGCAGCTGCTTGACAATCGTCGTGGCTGCCCAGCCAGTGCCAAGCACAACAAGGCGCGGACGCTTTCGTTGCTCCCAAGACATCTCCAGGTCGTGGAGGACGGGCACCGGGGCATCCCTTGTCGGCGTTGCAGGCGACTCGGCCGGAGCAGACGATGCAGACGATGCAGACAACGGCGTGGTCGATGCAGGCCTCGCCAACCAGCCAGAGGATGGCCGCAGCAGCCTGACGGTTTGCACGGTTCGGAACATCCGTAGACGGCCTTTCGGGAAAACGGACGAGTTTGTGGAAAAATGCTCAGATCACAACATACCAAGCCAGCCATTGGCATCCACGGCAGCCTTGCTTGACAGCGCGCCGCTTGCGAGTCCGAGGACAGAGTGGCACCACACGCCGTGGACCTCATCCAAAAAGAGTGAGCAGTCTGAGCCAGCGCAGCAATCCACACAAGTCACGTGACGGCAAGCCAACGAGCAGCAAAAGTGCGACAACGGCAGGATTCGAACCTGCGCGACCAAAGGTCACTGCCTTAGCAGGGCAGCGCGTTAACCACTCCGCCACGTTGTCTTCCCTCTTGTGGCTTGTCCTCGACCGTAGCATCCATGAACCCTACCTGTGACTCTTGCTGTTTCTTGCTCTTTCTTGCTTGCTTGCGTTCTCTGCCCTCTGCCCCCCTGCTGGCTGTGCATGTAAGTGCCATGGCTGACATACACCATCCACTGTCCATTGGCGTCTCACCGTGTGCCTGTCTGCCTCCCATGGCGCGCACACCAGATCTGGCAGCAGAACACACAGCCTTGGCCGGTCGCGCTTCCTTCTGCGACTCTCACTGTCACTCACAGCCACTCTCGCCTGATGCGGCACCATGCCACACACACACACACACACACACACACACAGGCAATGGAAGCCCCAACGATGCAGGAACAGCATGACAAGGTGTCTGTGGAGCAGCAGCGTCTGTTTGGATGCATCGTTGACGACATTGCCATGGCTGCTGCTGTGTCCATGGAGTGCCATCGCGACTGTCTTGTCTGCTGTCGAGAAGGCTGCCCGCGAGTGCCTCTCATCATACTGGCCCTCATCGCCTCTCTCTGCCCACATCCAAACACAGGGCTGCCCACTCCTCCTCATGAGCCAGTGTCGGCTTCTGCTGTTTGCTCAACGCGACGGTCAGGCACAGCGTGCCAAGCCACCTGAACATGCATCAGAGAATGCCTCTGATCGTCGCTTCTGGATGCTGTCAAGGCTTGGCATGCGGACCTGGCAGAAGCAGACGCAACGCGGCTGACGACAAGCAACGCACGGCTGCCTCTCGACTGTGACTGCAAGCATCTTGTCTGTGCCCTGTCTCTTTGCAGTCTCTCTCGTGCAATGCTCGTGCATGGGCTCGTCTGCTCGTTGCCCACTCACAGGCCGCCACATTCAAAGGCAGACGTCTCTGGCGAGTGGATGGATCGGAGCGTCGGGTATTCATCAGATGTACATTTGGACTGCCAGCATCGATCACACAAGCACAGGCTTGTCGTCTGCGGCATGCGCAGAAACGCCTGCCTCAAAGCTGCGGTTCCTGCGTCGGATGACAATGAGGCTTGCAACAACACCGACTGCCACAAGACACACAGCAATACCGCCAACAATCGCGGCAATCGGGAAACGGCTTGCTGCTTGCTGCGGCTCGCCTGGTCAACGACGGCAGTGCAGTGGGTCAGCATGCGCTGTGTGGTCATCGCAGCATGCGCATCAGACACTCAGACCACTGCCACTCACAGACGGCAGACAGGCTGCATCTGGCACGCGCACTCTCGGTAGATGCGCAAACGGCCGTGTTTGCGCCATTGCATGTTGCGTTGACTGGGATGTTGTCTGGGAGCGATCCAGCCAGCATGGGGTTGTTGGCAAACGAGCTGTCGTGCCGTGCCAGGCGGCATTTCCATCCGTGTCAGTTTTGTTGCAGATCGCCAGACAGAGCAGCTGATGGTGTGGTGGCAACTCACAAATCCTTCATGAAGCCCAGACGGTCGATGGATGAGGGTATCTGGCCAGTCAGGCTGTTTCCATCAAGCCACCTGGAGAGTCCCAGTGTGCCGCATTGGATTAGATCGTGAGTGGGACGGTTCACGAGCACGCATTCCATGTGGTCACTGGCACTGCATTGCCGGCTTACAGGATCTGCAGGAACAACAGCTTGGACAGAGTGTCTGGGATCGGTCCCGACAAACGATTGCCACGAAGCAGTCTGTGGTGGCATGCATGCGATGGTCAGCAACCGTCACAGCCAGCAGCAGCAGGATGCACAGGACGCACAGCTTCTCAAGGCGTGGCAGCTGACCCAGTTCAGACGGGATCGAGCCGGAGATGTTGTTGTTGGACAGCGAGAGACCGGTGAGGTTGGGCAGGCGGCCAGTGCCGGTGGAATGGATCCCGACAGCGAGTTGTTTTGCAGTCCACTGCCAGCATGCCGAGTGTCAGAAGGCGATGAACAAGGCGATGAGTGCGGTGTGCTCTCACATCACAGTCAGCTCCTTCATCGTGCCCAGGAAGGACGGCACCTCGCCTGACAGCAGGTTGTCGTGCAGGTACCTGTGGCCGGCCCAAGTCAGCATGATCGACCTGTGATGGCCAGGTGTACACACACACACACAGAGACAGACAGGCGCAGAGATAGACGAGCGAGCAAGCATGAACGCACAGGATCGACAGCCGAGACAGACTGGCAAGCGACGATGGAATGGGACCCGAGAACTGGTTGCCCCACAGGCTTCTGCTCGGCATAGATGGATGGCATGAGTGGCATGCATGAGTGGCATCAGCAGTCAGGCGCTTGAGGGATGGCAGCATGGCAGTTGCGAGCAGAGCAGCACGCACAGGCGGTCGAGACTTGTCAGTGCACCAAGCGTCGCTGGAATGGGGCCAGCCAGGTTCCGATCCGACAGCGACCTGCCGTCGGTGCATGCAGCGAGCAGCGAGCAGCGGGCACCAGTTGGCATGTGTGCAGGCAGCAGCATGTCAGCAGCAGTGCGATGAGTGCCAGCAGCGACGGGCAGTGGGCACGGACAGCTTGGTGATGCGGCCGCCAGCGCACGACACGCCAGAGAACGAGCAGCAGTTGGATGGGAGCACCGTTTGAAGCGAGGGGAAGGCGTCTCGCAGCACCGCACAGTCCTGTGAAGCGATGCCGGCAGACGCAGTTGCCGATGTGTTCATGGCAGCAGGCGCTTGCTGGTCGATTGCTGGCAGTGCGGGCAAGCCAGCGGCCAGTCCGTTGTTCTTCACATGCAGGGCAGTGTCAACCATTCCTCAGCCAGCCACATGCACAGCCACTTGGGCAGCCAGCCACATTGGCAGAAGAGAAATGATTGGTCGGTCATCACTGGCAAGAGTCACAGGTAGGGCTCATGGATGCTACGGTCGAGGACAAGCCACAAGAGGGAAGACAACGTGGCGGAGTGGTTAACGCGCTGCCCTGCTAAGGCAGTGACCTTTGGTCGCGCAGGTTCGAATCCTGCCGTTGTCGCACTTTTGCTGCTCGTCGCTTCGCCGTCACGTGACTTGTGTGGATTGCTGCGCTGGCTCAGACTGCTCACTCTTTTTGGATGAGGTCCACGGCGTGTGTGTGCCAGTCTGTTCTCGGAATCGCAAGCGGTACGCTGTTGGATAGGCTGCCGTGGATGCCAATGGCCGGCTTGGTGGTGCGGTGTGATCTGTGAGCACTTGCAGCAAGGCGTTGACGTTCATTCAAACAAGCATGCTGCTTGCATAAATGTCCTTGCCCGAGTCCTGCAGTGGGCTGGCATAACCGAAGGATTGTCAACGGATCTTTACGCTGTTACCAACACGACAATCATGTCTTCATTCCAACAGCGCTCATCACTCGCTTGGCACTTGCAGTCTCTGAATGGCCGATTCGAGTCGCTTGATCACGACCTTTTTGGCACGGCCTCGTTTTGCTATAGCAAGCAACTTCTGTGCCCACTCCAGCGTGAGACTGCCAAAGAGAATGTTGGCCATTTCGGCATTGCCGTCCCAGCCAAATGCTCCAAGTTCAACCTGGTACCCGCGATCCAGCAAGTAATGCAGCATCTCCACGCTGCCCGTTCTGACTGCAATCGCGAGTGCGTATCCTGATGCACGGCCGCCTTTGGAGTGAATGTACTTGACGATTTCCATATGCCCCTTGCTAATGGCGTGGTTGAGTGCTTTGGACGTGCACTCGACACCACGAGTCTCGTGTAGCCACTTGACAATGTGAAGATGCCCAGACTCTACAGCATATTCCATCGCCCAGTATGTACATCCTGCCGTCCTGTTCTCGTGTAGCCAGACGACGACGTGCAGATGACTGTAGGCAGCCACGCCGTCCATCGCCTCCTTCGTGCAGCCCATCACACCGAGATCAAACAGATACTGCACAACATCGAGATGTCCGTATTTCGCAGCTTGGTCAATGGCACCATGCCAGTACGTGCTTGCCGGACCGTGCCTGGCAATCCAGCGTCGGAGCGTCTTGTACTTGCGGTCGAGATGCTTGAGCAGATCGAGGCAGCCAAAGCAGATGGCCAAGCGAGCGAGTGCGACTGGATACGTAAAGTCGATCAGATCGAACCAGCCGTGCCGCATGGGGATGAGAAGCAACCGACTGCGGCAAAAGTAAGGGTAGATGAACGATATGTTGGGATTGTCGTTGACTGCGTCTTGAATCGGATAGGTGGACTCGGTGCCAGGGAAGCGCTTGCAGAGACGGCGTACATGGAGCGAGAGTGTGCGTGCAGGAGTCCGTTGTCGGCCGTCGGGTTGACGTCAGGCAGCAGCGCCAGATCGCCCTGCCAGTCCATCTTGAACGCTTCGGTCCACAGATGCAGCTTGGTCGCTTCGTCGAGTGTGTCCTTGTCGTCGAGCATGCCGTTGAGGAAGCGAGTGAGCGGACCGGCGTGCTTGAGGATCATGGCGTGGATCTCGGCGGGCTTGCCGTCCCAGTGGCTGCTGCCATATGCGAGGTCGCCGGTGGCTGGCGGCACCACATAGCGAGGCACACATGGCTGTGGTATCGTTGCTGCTGCTGGCTGTCCTGGCTTGACGGCTTGGCTGCCACTCGCACCAACGACCTGCTCGACCACAGCCGACTGTTCGTTGTCTGTCGTCTGCCGTCTGTCGCTTCGCCTGCATCGCCACAGCGCTTTGTGGCTGACAGGACAAGATCCGCTCGACGCGATTGTCCAACAAGTGCCATTGCAACGAACGAGAACGTGGGACATGCACAGACACTGAATGCCATGGTGCACAGTGCGGCAGGCGTGGTGGACTGGACGTGCGAGCTGGTCCTTGGAGGGACATGCGTTGAAGCATGCGATTCAGAGACTCGATGCAGTGGCATTTCACAGTCAGCTGGCAGTCGCCAACAGACACGTCCAACACACTCCATGATACGCAGACAGTCGCCATTCTGCGTGTGCCTGTCAAGCCAGACCTCCGTTGTTGGGCACATGGATGCTGTGTCTCGCTTGCTTAAACGCTCTGAATCCCGCCAATGACAAGACACAAACAGTGACAGACTTTGTATTCATTCAGTCCATCCTGCAAGGACGTGCTCTTCTACAATCTGTCACAAGGTCATGCAGCGACCCTCTAGGCAATCAAGCACACTCGGCCGGAACGCTGAAATCGTCCTTGGTGTTGCGATGTGGTGCCACACTGACTGCGTGCACCCAGTCCGCGTCTGGCAAACCACGCCAGATGTCGCACTTGTACTTGCCACCATAGATGTGGAATCAGCGGTGATGATCGCGTTGCGTGCGACCACAAGACGGGTTGCATCCCTGCAGCGTGAGTCCAGCGAATACAAGCTGCGTGGACACAATGTTGCCGGCCGTCTGCTTGGCGTCGTACAGGTTGGCAGAGAAGCCGTACTTGTCGATCAGATCCCAGTACATCTCCCAGAGCATGTTGTTCCACACCTCGCCGACCTGGTGCACTTCGGTGCGCGACCTGAGTCCGCTGTATGTGAGGGGGCTCAGCGTCATGTTGCCGAGTACGGGAAGCGCGGAATCCACGGGCGCTCTCGACATACGACCCAACAAACCGCGGCGTGAACCGTGTGTGCGACGCGCGTGTGGTGGCAAACAGACCAAAGTAGTCGGACCAGCCCTCGCCAAGACCCTTGGCAATGCTTGTCGACAGCAGTTGCCGCTGGCGGGCCGCTCCGGTCATGCGGTTGGACACGCCATGCATAACTCATGCAGCGGAATCACAGACTCGAAGCCGCTGTCACGGTTGGGCGTGTAAGGCGGTGAACCGGAACATGTTCATCGTGCCAGACTGGCCGTCGCCTGGTGACGCAAAGTTGGCGTTGTTGGTGCCGGATGCGAGCACATTGACCGACGGGTCCCGCCTGCGCCGCTTGCCAAAGTTGTTCTTTTGGAAGTTGCCGGCCGCCTCGGTGAAGCCGTACTGGTACGCAATGTCGTGCGCAATGTTGACCATGTAGAACAGGTTGACGGCACTGGCCGCCTTGTTGACGGGCGCATCGGGTGCGAGCTTCGCATCCCAGGCCGTCTCAAACACGTCGCTGTTGGCAGCCATTGTGCCAGCGAATGAAGTGACGACGTTGTTGCCCGGTGATCTGTACTTGGTCGTTCCATCGTCGGTCCAGCCGAGCGGCGACGAGGGGATGTACTCGGGGTTGGCAATCAGGTCAAAGCCCTCGGTGGGTCAGCTTGGGAGGCGATGGCGATAAGAGGCTGTTGACATAGTCGACGACGTTGACCAGCTGGCCTGGAAGTGGGCAGGATGGATGGAATGGCAGAGATGGACATATCAGCGCGTGTCAGAAGGAGACCAACTATCAGATGAAGCAGAATGGCATCGCATGGCATGGCATCACTCACCAGTGGAGGCATCCACAGACACCTGCACCCACTTGGTGGCAAACTCGTCCTTGAGCTCAAACGTGTGGGCGTACACGACGTTGCCAGCAGGCAGCTGCACATACTCGAGCACAGGCGCAAAGCCGGGGTTGAGAGCGAGATCGCGGCCGACCTGTGCACGGGCATTGGCCACAGCAACGCCAACAGCGACGCGGACACGCGGAGGAGCGACGGTCAGGTCCCGCTTGGCGATCTGGCCAGGAGCGCCAAACGACGACGAGTAAGCAACGACGCGGCCGGCCTTGACGTGCACGCCGGCGTTGTGGTTGGCCACACGGATGCCGTCGATGAGCTGCGTGCCAAAGATGTGCGTGACGCCGACGGCATCGGTGTACTTGTTGTCGATGGCAAAGTCGGACGCTGCGATGCCGAGCTTGTCGGCGAGGAACTGGACGCCGACCTGGACAGATGCGGCCTCGGAGCTTGGCGCAAACGAGCTGCGGCCGCGAGCAGGGGCGGCGGGAGCGGGCTGCGACACGACCTCGTAGACAGACTCGGGGTAGAAGTGCGGCAGGCTCAGGTCGAGGCTGCGGCGATGCAGGTATTCGAGGCGGTGGCCCGACTCGCTGTCGTGTCTGGGAGCAGCAGGAGCCGCGAGCACGGAAGCCGCCGACGCAACAGCGAGAGCGAGGGTGAGGGACAGAGCAGGGATCATGGCAGGGATGACGAGGAGTGGCTCTGATGGAGAGGGTGGAGTGGTGGGGGCAGGCGGGCGACTTTAAGACGGCGGCGATCCGAGTACATCTGGCTGCCCTTGTCGCTCGTCTGGCACACGCGGCCGGCGGCATCCTCCGCGTTCGCGCCACGTGCACAGGGTCGAGTGGTGCACGAGGCACGCACGAGGCGTGCATGTGGTCAGGAAACCAGCCGTACAGCCGCTGTGCGGCAGTGCGGTCCAAGTTGCCAGCGTCGCAAGGGTCTTTTGTTCGACTGCGTACGGGTCTTGTGCTCGGTTGCGTCAGGGTCCACACACGCGGTGCGCTGTCCACATGCCACGCGAGCTGGCAGAGCCACACCGCGAGCCACTCGGCGCAAGACGGAGCCAGCCGCGGAAAGTGCAAAGTGCGTCCTTTGCCGCAGATGCTCTCTCCTGCTCACTGCCAGGCTGCAGACGCCAACGGTGCTGTGGTTGCTGTGTTGCAGTCGCACTGGCCCAGCTGGTGGCAGTACACAAGCGTTGGAGTCGCTCAAAGGTGGCGCAGAGCGAGCAGGTGGCAGTGACAGTAGCTGCAGCGGCACAAGCCGGCGGGCAGTGACAACAGCGGCAATGACAACGACATTGCCACAGAAACTACTTTAAGTAGCCGCCTGCGTTTCCCGTCCATCCCCAGCGGCATCCAGTCTCTACAATGCTCTCTGCTGCCCCTGTTGCCTCTGCCATGCCGGTCATGTCCTCCACGTCGCTGCCCGGTGCAGTTGCAAACGAGCTTGGTGTACCGGCTTATCGCGGCAAGGCGCTGCACGGTGTCAAGAAGCAAGGTGTGGCTGTCAAGTCGCCCGCGTCTGGCAACGAAACTGGTGAGTGCACTGTGCGGCTTTGCAGTTGCGGAACGGACACTGCCATCGCCTGCTGTGCATCGCCTGCTGCGGATCT